GATATGCCAAAGTGGCACCGCCACTGAAAACACCTGCTAGGCAAAACTGCCAACGATCTTAACCCTGAGCCATAGCAAACCAAGGCTTAGAAATACAGTACTCCTTTAAAAACAAAACAAAACACAACAGGTCCCAGAATTGTCATCCAAAACAACATTTCCACACTCTGCAGCAAATGCAACATGAACAGATGGCTCAGAACGTGAAATGGCTCCCCAGGCAGGCACACACCCCTGCAAACCAGGACTTTCCAGTTCAACCAGCTTTGGTAGTGCTCAGTCCCAAAAAGATGGAAAATATGAATGCTCCTGCGATCAGCACCAAAGAGGGACGGACATAAAGGGACCAAGGTGGAGACCTGAATGATAGATATTCTGTCTTCTCCCTGGGAATAGGAACAAGGGAAGGCTGGGATGCCCCAGTGGAAAGTGGAGCCGTTCAGTTTACATTTGCCCAGTCCTGCCGGCTCCAGTTCCTTCTCAGGGCTGCTTGTCTGGCACACAACCGTCTCTCTTGGTGTGTACGCTTGCAATTTAGGGATTAGGCAGGGCGTGTGCAGACGGACGGCTGCAGTTGAAAAGGAAAAGCCATGCATGCCTCCTTTTTTTCGGTGGAGAGCTCTGACTAAGCTCTGCCCTGGCAATGGCCTCCAGCTGCCCTGCACCTGTAGCAAACCCGAATTGCCCGGAACGGGATTAAGAACAGACAGGCTTTCCGGGACACCAGAAGAAGATGCCAGCATCATTTCCCAGCGTAGTAGAAAACATGACTCAGCCGCTCAAGCCTCCCAGTTGCCTCAGAGGCAAACTGGGATGAGGAGGCTACTGCCACGTGGCATTGCGACTCCCTGGAGCAATCTGGAGCTAACCCTAACCCCTAACCCCTAACCCTAACCCTAACCAGGCTCCCAAAATGGATCACATAATGTACACCCCTAGCCTTGGTAGAATTTTATTTACTGTATATACTCATGCATAAGTCTAGCAATCTTAGTAAACAAATTGGACCCAAAAAAACAGAGTCGACTTATCCATGAGTCAATGTAAGTACTGTACTTTAACTCTTATTTTAAAAAGAAATGATCTCCCTCTATCTACTGTCTCATCCATCCATCCTTTAGGATGAGCACAAACAGTTATGCCTGCTGGGATTTTGTAAGTTCTTTGGAATCGTTTTCCTTTGCTTCATCCTTGATCCTTTGTTACATGAGTTTTACCCTCGACTTATCCACGGGGTCATAGCAAAATCCATAATTATGCTCCCAAAACCTGTCCTCGATTTACGTATTGACTTACAGTTGAGTATATATGGTATTTATATACAGTCTGCCCTCCTTATAAACAGATTCAAGCATCCACAGCTTGAAAATATTTTTAAAATATAGAAATTCCAACAACCAAACCTTGATTTTGCGATTTCATATAAGAGGCATCATTTTATTGTGCCATTGTATTTAATGGGACTTGAGCATCCATGGTTTTTGGTATCCACAGGGGGTCCTGGAACCAAACCCCAGGAGATACGAAGGGCTCACTGTATTTTATATGTTGCCTTTCTCACAAATTGGATCCTAGGTGGCTCACAAATGATGCTTTAAAAACAGTACATCTTTAAAAAAAAAACCCGAATTAAAATGCTTCACATCAATTTTGTTGTTGTTGTTGTGTGCCGTCAAGTCATTTCTAATTGATGGTGACCCTAAGGTGAACCTATTATAGGGTTTCCTTGGCAAATTTCTCAGGGGGGGTTGACATTGCTTTTCTCTGAGGCTGAGAGAGTGTGATGTGCCCAAGGTCACTCAGTGGGTTTCCAGGGCTGAGACAGGATACAAACCCTGGTCTCCCAGTGTCCTAGTCCAATGCTCAAACCATTATTAAAAATACAAAATCATTAAAAACATACTACATTGAATATATAAAACTAAAACACACAAAAGCAAACATCCCAGTAAGAAGCCTCCCTGGGTGCAATTGTGTATTAAAAGCCAGCTTGATGTTGTTATTGTTTTATTTATATCCAGCCTTTTTCCTGTTATAGGGACTCAAGGCAGCTAACAACATGTTTAAAATAATATAAATTAAGTTAAATTAAATACAACAATACTAGTTAAAAGCAATACAAATTGCCAGACATTGACCACAGAATT